GGAGGCAGAGAGGAATAGACTGGGCCATACTCTCACACTGAGGAGCTATAATGACTGGAGGCAGAGAGGAATAGACTGGACCATACTCTCACACTGAGGAGCTGTGATGACTGGAGGCAGAGAGGAATAGGCTGGGCCATACTCTCACACTCTGGCACTATAATGACTGTAGGCAGAGAGGAATAGGCTGGGCCATACTCTCACACTCTGGCACTATAATGACTGTAGGCAGAGAGGAATAGACTGGTCCATATTCTCACACTCTGGCACTATAATGACTGGAGGCAGAGAAGAATAGACTGGGCCATACTCACACACTCTGGCACTATAATGACTGGAGGCAGAGAGGAATAGGCTGGGCCATACTCTCACACTACAGTGCTATAATGACTAGACTGGAACGGATTGGGCCATGTTCTCACACTGCAGCTTATCTACACTTTGACTTCTCATGAATTTCATGTACAAGATTTATGATGCGGTCTCTTCTGTTCGCTTGTTGCTGCAGGTAAAGGGACGGCCTCCTGTCAGTCCTACAGGGGTCAGTGTGAGTCGACGGTGTTTCTACAGCGATTAACAACAGCGAGGAATGTTTGCTGGAATGAGCTTCTGGCAACACTCACGGGGTCAGAGAGAGAGCTTCTCAGATAATTTCGGAGGAGCTGGGAACACTGGCGATCTGAAACACACACTGTGCTACAGCTGTCGCCGGGTCTGAGACGGCCCCAAAGCCTTTTATCCCTCTGCAGAGCTGGGTGAGCCTGCAAGTCTTTTTCCCACTTCCAGATGAGTGTCGCTTACCTTTCAAAACCAGAAATCAAATTTAAAAGTACTCTTGCTTGATTTTTAGTTTTAGATAGATACTTTATTAATCCCGTGAGGGAAATTGTAGTGCAACCGCAGCCAGGCACAATCAACAAAGCACAGTACAACGTAATACAGATATTACAAAAATAAAACAGGATGTACGGTTCACAAAGAAGATGTATTGCACGGGATAGATATATTGCACAATCCTCAAGCGTATTGCACAAGTGTAGATATATATTACACAATTATAGGTAGATTGCAAATCCACTTCCATATATTACACACCATTTGTAAACAGAAGATTCAGGTTTGGTCCCAAAACAGGTCAATGTTGCCCCTGCCCAGACACACAGTGGACAAGTTGGCAGTAGGCACGAATGACCTTCTGTAGCGTTCCCTGTCACACCGTGGTTGGACCAGCCTATTGCTGAACTTGCTCTTCGTTCTCACAAGCATGCCAGGGAGGGGATGGGAGACGTTATCCATGATGGTCATTAATTTGGACACCATTCTCCTCTCAGCCACTTCCTCCAGATGGGCTAGATAACAGAACTGGCTCTTTTGGTGAGCTTTTTCAGCCTTTTAGCATCCCCGGCTCTAATCCCAGAGCCCCAGCACACCACTGCATAGAAAATGGCACTTGTCGGTGTTGTCACTCAGAATATTTTCACCTCACCGAAAGAAGGGAGCAAAACAGACATGAAAAAACTGGGAAAGTACTGTGTACAAGTACTGTATCCTTGTCTAAATTGCTATCTCTGAAGCCAGTCCATTGCACTGAAATGAGTTATAGATAAAGTAACACGATGTGTCCTCACGTGGTTCAGCAGAATGTGCCTCTTCCTCCGAGCTCTGTCCTGACCCCTGGTGAGGGGAATGGGCTGGTCAGGCTCATGCAAACAGCTGAGGGAAATAAAGGCCAATAATGACATAATTGCTAAGCCAGAACGTTAATTAAAAAAGTGAGCTCCAAAGAAGTGTTCCCCAAATATTCCTGGAATCTCACGAGTAGTTATCCATGTTCGAATTTTCACTGTCTGTGTAGCTATGATATGTATAAGATTGTGAGTTTGTTGTGTGCAACAGGTGTTTGAGGGCTGTGAGAAGCACAACAAAAGACCTCCAAAGCCACAGCATTAAAAGTGCTTTACACCTCCAGCACAGAAAATACACATTCGTCACGTAAAGTGTTCAAAAAGGGTTTGCAATGAATGAATCTCCATTTCGTTTCACTCTTGCTCTCTCCTGCTGCCTGTGTTCCCCTCCCCCTCTTGCTGGGTAACCAGAAAGGCTCTGTACTGTTTCTGTAGAGAATTCCACTAATTACTGGAGATTTTTTATGCACTAGATGAAGCAATCTAGAGCATTAATATCAGTAATAACTGCCCTGCAGGCTCTTCCAGCCACCATAATAGCAGACTTTTAAAAAAAAATCCCCATTATCCTGGGTTCAGCATTCTTTCACAAACAGAGGCAGGTTTCTGCTTGTTCAGCAGCTTAAAAAGTGCATTTACTCCTCACATTGTCTTTTTTTTCTTTTCCCAAAATGAAGGAAATTTCTAAAAAACCAGAGAGGCAAAGGTAGATCGTGCGGTGGGTTTTGCTTTTGAGAACTGCCCGCGTTGTGCCTGGAGTGTCTTCCGGGGCCTTTGGTGTCAAAGGGCGCGAGCAGGGTAGTTCAGGGGCTGGGTGTGAGCTCCCGCCGCGGGACCACACAGGTGAAGGGCCGAGGTCAGAGGAGAGGCGCGCCGTGGTCACCGTGGCAACCCCCACTTCGTACAGGACGACACAGCCGGGAGATGCAGGGCAGAGAATGGCACCTACAACGTCTTTTACTGACCACTGTGGACACCATAGCCAGGAAGCACACTGGGCCAGCGGCAGGTCAGTAAGGCTCCGCTCTCCTGTGGGGTGGAAAGGCCCTCATCTGGCAGAAATCTGTTTTACTGGGAAGAACAAAAAACATTAAAAAGTGCCGGCATCAAAAGAGATATTTTTTTCCCAAGGTTTAGTTTTCAACGGCTTTAAAATTCAATGCAAACAATTTTTTTACAGGGGAGGAGAGGTACGGGGCTCATCTTACGAAACAGCCGTGAGGTTTGACACTGCACGTGCCTCGCCGTCCCATCTTGTCAAGGAAAAGCATCGCTGTCGAAGTGGAAGCTCAGGTCTGAGAAGGAGGGATAGCACGGGAGAGTTCAGTATTGCCAAAGGTGCAAGTTTTTGTTTTAATTGATTTATTCTCTTTATTTCTTGCACAGGAAAACAAATAAACAAGGAAACTCTGGGGATGGAGGAGTAAAGCTAAGACGTTTCATGGAGCCTCAGCTGTTATTTTTTCTCCCTGGATAAATATTTGTCTGTCTGTGTTGGGGTTACACCTACAGACACTGAGCGAGGAGACAGTAGGAGTTTGTTTTCAGCCTTTTAATCTTTTTTTTCCCTCCCTCCCTCTCGCTCTCCTTTTCTTTCCAAAGTTTTTAATATCAAAGTGCAGTCCCTGACAGAGCGAGCGCTCTGACAAGAGCGCTTTTGTTGAAGCGGCTCGACCTGCCCAGCAGTGACAGGACCCATCAGCCCGCTCTCTGTCAAAGGAGAGTCTGAAGATAAAAAAAAAGGAATGAGAGGAGGGAGAGAAAGGTGGGGTGGAAATACTCGTCGGATCGCACAAAAGCCTTTTTCTTGGGGGGGGGGGGGGAGGTTTGAAATCCAATAACTTAATTTCACCTCATCAAGGGCTTGAGACATGAAAAAAATCGACAAAACAAAACCGTGTCTTTTTCCTGGGTCGGGGCCTGACTCCCTGCCACACTGTTGGATGAAAGCGCCCCTCTCCGCGGGTCTCGAACCGTCTGAAGGGCCTTGGTCAGAACGCTGGCCACACCGCACAAGAGCCCCGTCTGAGGTGAGAGCGGGGGCTGTGCCAAGGGCGCCCCCCCCGGCCCCCCCACCTGAGGTGTCACACTCCAGATACAGAGATAATTGCTCTCCCTGTATGTCAGCAGAGCCACAGCTCTTTTCATCCGAGATGAGCTATCCCCTTTCTCCATTTCTCCCGCAGAGAGAGTATCCCAAATTGGTACCCTCCCTGCTTCTGATGGGCTGGGTTAGGGCTAGCAGTGCTGGGCACATAAAGAACCCCAGGACCTCTTTGGGAGGTGATGGGTGGATGACTGTTGTTACTGTTTCTTTTAACTTCTTTTCTTTCCAAGGTGCTTCATAAGGAAAAGAGTGGCTTTGCAGCACAACAGGTTCTCCGCTGATGGAGAGCACAGTCACATTAAAATGGACAGTGTGGTTAGGAATATATGATGCACGTGACGCCATGGCAACTAAACAACAGTTTGCCTCCACAACTGGTGGTTCAGCCTTGGCCAACCTGCCAAGGCCTGAAGCAGACTGAAGACGTTCCAAAGGCTGATGGCCTGTAGCCTTGTGGTGCAAGAGCATCATGGGACAAATTGGACAGTCCTTCTTGAATTGGTTTTGCTTACTGAAGTGTCACTGCACTCCTGAATACCAGAAGCCAAGGCTGAGGCAGCAGGAGTCATGGCAGGGGGGAGACGGAGGGAGAGAGGGAGAAAGACATGAGCTCTAATAATACATCAGTATGAAAAGGCAAGAAGAATGTAGCCCTGCAGGCTGGTGTCAGCACAGTAAATTACAGCTCCAATTGAAACTGTCAAAGGGGAGGAACCTGGAACAGCTTGCTCACTCACCGAATGAACAATAAACAACATGGTTTTTTTTCTTGTAATGCGTATAAAGCAAAAAGAAATGAAAGGTTGTTTATATACACAGTTTAAGCTACCTCAGCACATGCCATTTTTTTCACCTGACCCCTGAGGACTTTTTGAGAGAGTAACCAAACGTTTCACTGCATAACTCCTGTGTGGGATGGGGGTGTTAAGAATACAGCAAATAGTAATAAATGTTTTTCTAAAGAATGTTAAGTACTAGTCTACACAACATAAATTTACCTGATACTCAATGCAGTGGTGCAGCCTCCAAGCCACCACTGAATTCAAAAAGCTCTAGTTCACGATCAAAGTGATAGCCACTCTCTGGTCACACTGCCCCAGTATCCCACCATCACCACTTCTTGAATCTGAATGAACACTGGCCAAGCACTGAAGCCTTTGTAAAGATTGCAAAGGGATGAAATAATTTATTGAATATTATAGAACACAGAAGGATCCCACATAGATAAATTGCGATTAGTCTTGTTCTTGTTTTCCTGCTAATGGGCAATAGCCTGCAGTGTCACCTGGTGTTCACAATGTGCTACTGAGCTTGACTGACTGATGTTTCGTTGGGACACAAGGGTTCTGCTGGACAAGCAGTAATGCTGTGATCTCACTGACAAGCCCTGAAACCCTTTTTCTTTAAAAAAAATTGGAAAAATCATTAATTGAATTTCACTTGCACGGGCAAAATCAATCTGTGTGTCCATGCATATATTGATGTTTTAATGAAACATGATTAATCTTCCATCTTATCAGATTACAGATCTACAAGAGCCAGCTGTTCTTTTGACAGGTAACATTTTAAATTGCACGAGGATAAGTAAAACTTTTAACAGTTTCAGTCTAACAATGCAGCGCCCTAAACTGTTCAAAAATATCCATAGCATTGCATTCAAATAAAATGATGAAGCTCCTTGTCATGTGTGTCATGAACAATGGGAAGCTTTGAAGTGGGGTGTGATAGCGATCTCTAACATCACTCAGCTCCGGGCTTTTGGCAATGTTTCCCACAATGGCTTTAAAGAAACTGCTTCAATGGGGTCTGAGGGCCTGTGCTTGATCGTCTGTATTGTCAAGGGAATTCCAGCCACTCAGTATAAATGCCACCAAGAACTGAAATATCAATTTCACAGACGCACAGAAAATTAAAAATGGACCCCTAGGCAACCCTGTCAGAGGGGTGGGGTTGGAGAGCTTTTTAGAAGGCGGCAGGGGAAACACACTTCTTGAACACAGAAATTAAAACAAACTGTTAAAGAAAATGTTGTTTCCTTTATATATGTGTTTGCTAGACCAATTGGGAAACTGCAATTATCTTTAGTCTTGGGGGGGTCTACTGCAGTGGCCACTCTGTTGAGGAGTCAAAAAGACAACTAGGCATGAACCTGTGCCAGAAATGTCTCTTTTGACACTTTTCAAGCTCCACAGTGCCCTTGGGAAAGGTAAAGCTGATTGGAGGAGCAGCGTGACTCACTGATGTCATTGCAAGCCTGCAGTCTCCCAGCACAATGCTGTTGCACACAGAGCTGAGCAGTCCCTGTCCAGCTAATTTCAATCCTAGGCCTGCGATATTCAGTCAGATATGCACCACTGCTTGCAGTCGAAGTCATGGTAGTCTAGTGACATTATCTGGGTTCAACTAGTGATGTCTGGCTAGCAGAGCTCAACCTCCCTGAATGAATGTGTTACCCATTGGAGGTTTTATCAGTACCTTGCCACTCACCATGGAAGTAGACTGTTTACCACGAATTGCATCTCAGATTCCTTGTTTTTCATTCATATCCTAAGTTCTGACTCATCAAGCAGCTCCGGTGTTTCTGCATCTCTGCTGCAGATGTGACATTAAGAATGTTAATGACATCCTTCAGTCACAGCCTTGTTGCTATAAGTGTAGTTTCTTTTCCAGCAATGTTTGCATACTTCTATATCGTGTATAGTCAGCCCCCTCTCCCCCTTTCCAGAGCACAAAATTGTCCTGTAGTGTTAAGTGGTTGATTTCTAACATGCACAAACGTGTTCTGAGGTGAATAATTCGCATTAAAGGCACACTCGAATGACAAGAAATAGAGTAAGGCTTTACAGAGGTAAACTACAGGGGACGCTGAAGTCTCTTTTTTCTGGGGGGCGGGGAGTATTGTAGAAGGAGAGTTCTAATGAAAAGTGTATTTGAAGGAAAGGAACAGAACAGAATCCATAAAAAGAGCCGGAGGGCTGAGCAGCAGTCTCATAATCTCCCAGATGCTGCGTGCTGTTCCGGGCATGTTCCCTTGTGCAGAGCGTGTCTGAGAGCATGTTTTTGGTGCCGTGGGATCTGCGCGGCAGATGGCTGCTATGACAGCTCCACACTGAGGGCCGGGGAGCGTCAGCCCCCGCTCTCCTCCTGCCGGGCTGCACCGGTCGCCCTCTGCTCTCGGCTCCAGATCCCGGTGCTGACGTCACGTGTACCTGATCTGGGCAATCGAGGCGTGCAGATCTCCGCCACGAGCTGGTTGTGACCGATCAACCTCCCCGGCCCTGCTCCCTCTCTGATCTCCCTCAGTACAGGTCATGGGCTGGCCAGCACAACATCATAATAATAATGTTTCTTTATTAGCCCTATACAATTTCTTGCATTAGGAATTCATCTTTTCACATAACCCAGATTTTCTCCAAGGAGACACAGACAGGGAGAGAAGCCTGGGGTCAGAGCACAGGGTCTGCCATTGTACGGCGCCCCTGGAGCAGTTGGGGTTAAGGGCCTTGCTCAGGGGCCCAACGGAGTAGGATTCCTCTGCCGGCCACGGGATTTGAACCGGCAACCTTCCTGTCACAGACGCAGATCCTTAGCCACAGAGCCACCTCACTGCCCAATGGGCATGGGCTGCTAAATTTTCCCCTGGCCTTTACCTATCGTGGCCTCCTAATAATCCCCATCTCTGAACTGGTTTCATCACTCAGCTCTCCTGCGTACTGGAGAATCATCCAGGTGGGGCTGCACACTGATGGTGGTGGAGGGGAGTCCCCATTACCTGTAAAGCGCTTTGAGTGGAGTGTCCAGAAAATGGCTATAGAACTGTAAGGATATTATTATTAATAATAATAATGCTATTCTCCTTATTCCGCGTGATTGGGAGCCCAGTGATGACTATTTTTCACACACTGGTGTGGGTTTTCTTTTCATCCATCTACAGATCCACTGTCCAAGAAGTTGTCTTTCTCTTTCTAGGTGATCTGTGGTGGCTCTCTTATCTCATAGCTGGGCTCCATCACCCATTTTGCTTAGGTAATCACCGAACACCCCTGGGTACGGCGCTGAGGGTCATACTCTTGTTTACCAGAACTGAAGATGCTCAGCTTTTTTTCTGCTTGCATGTACCGATTCACATATTCCTGATCTAATGAGATGGGAAAGCAGTGAGCAAGTAAGGGCTGAGCCCAGCTCGAGACACTGCAGATCAGTGTGTTCCTCTCTTTCTCCCTCCTGTGGCTGAGCCTTGACAGGAGCCAGCAGGTTGAGTCCATCCAAAAGTTGGAAAGAACATCCTACCAATGGGGCTCTCCGATTCCTAAGACACGGTTAACACAACCCTTTCAATAGGCTCGCTGCAGATGTATTTTCATCTATATAAAAGATTACACTTTCCAGCAAAAGGAGCTGCTGCTACCAGCTTCCCAAAAGTGTTGTACTTCATTGAACCCTGGAGAAAAGATTTGTCTTATCAGTCTCATCTTAATAAGATCATAAAACCTGGGTGATAATTGGTTAATCACACATTTGCTTTAATTGCTGATCAATGTTTCTGGTTTATGCAAGAGCTCAATGCTCACACGTGCTCAATACATACAAGGCTTTTGCCAGTGAGTCATGGAAAAACTATGAATGGATGTACGAAGCCTTGCAAAGGTCAAAGTACTGTAATTAGCTAA